ATTTTACAGCTGCTTAGTTACATTGGTCACAGTGTTAAGATATCTTTTATAGTTCGTGTATTTTTCTTAGATTGTTGTCGTCTGCTTAGTTACATTGGTCACAGTGTTAAGATATCTTTTATAGTTCGTGTATTTTTCTTAGATTGTTGTCGTCTGCTTAGTTACATTGGTCACAGTGTTAAGATATCTTTTATAGTTCGTGTATTTTTCTTAGATTGTTATCGTCTGCTTAGTGGTCGCCGCCGTTAATGCTACAATTCTTCCCGTTAATTATGGATACGCCCCAGCTGTGAAAGTTGTTGCTCCTGTTTATCATGCTCCAACTTACGCACCAAAAGTAGTGGTAAGTAGTGTTCATTAATACATTAATCTCTCGGACATTTCTTCATTACTACACACACATTCACGTAATTAAACAAGTTACATCTTGAGCCTGTAAGCAACCACTTTATACACTCTCTAGTCAATTCTACCATTTAACAGGACGTTTAATAATTTGTTGAGCTTTCGTGAACTAAAATGATCAAACGTTTAAACCCTAGATTTATACAAATATTAAGAAAGAAATATTTTCAGTTTATTGATCATAATAGCATCAGTAAGAAATTTTCACGAATGTCAACGAAGAAAATTTTATTTCTTTACGTTATTGTTACTTTTTTTCCAATTATATCGTACTAATATAATTCATCAAGTCTAGATACAATTTAAATACTCATAGTTACTAACGCTGTTATATATAGGAAATCTCACGCAATAGAGAAGATAAAAACAGAAAGTTTAAAGGTGCATTAAAAAAATCAAATGATACTCAAGAATTTACGAATCTTTGTTTTGATACTCTAGGAGAAACCTCAGCCTTACGACTTCAACTACGAGATCCAAACTGATGACGCTGGTTCTCTTTGGCAACGAGAGAGTGGTGACGACTACGGCAACAAACAGGGCTCCTTTGGTTACCGTGATGCTAACGGTGTCTACCGACAAGTGGAGTACGTCGCCGATGAGGCTGGTTTCCGCCCAGTGATCAAGACCAACGAGCCAGGTACTGCCAACGCCAACCCTGCTGACGTTCAGATCACTGCTGAAGAGTCCCCAGTGAAATACGAAGCCCCAGTGAAGGCTTACACTCAACCCAAGGTCGTGAAGATTCACGCTCCCGTTTATCATCAGCCCGCTGTATACGCCGCCCATGTTCCCGTCTACCATAAACCCGCCGTATACGCCGCCCATGTTCCCGTCTACCATAAACCCGCCGTACACGCTGTTGTCCATGCTGCTCCTTATGGATACTCTCATTAAAACTTTGACTATAAATTCATAACCAATTTTTTTATTTGCTGTATTTATAGCGTTTACGTTGTGGTTAATAAATCTTAGAAATTTTGTATTTACCGAGTCCAGATCACGTGGTGTGTTTTAACTTCCTGCAACTAGGTAGGATTAGAGAGTTTTCCTAGAGACATTATCATTTGAAAATCACTCCCAGTAAAGTTTGAATACTAATTAAGTTTTAATTAGGATAACCACTTTGAATAATCAAAGGATTCTATAATTCAATGCTATCAAATGCAAAATGATTAACGTTTAAGAGCCAAGCGTGGCCCAATGGTCAACGTATCGGACTGTGGATTTGAAGTTCAGTAGTTCATAGCCCGTTACCGCAAAAGAAAATAATCGCCCTCCGCACTTTGGGAAAATAAATACATTCTAAGAGTGACAGTCATACTGGTCTGACAAGAATAGCCCAAGAGTTGATGACAAGTGGTATTGGTTGGCTTCCTTCTCTCCAGTTTATCACCTCAAAATTAAGGACGGCTAGCGCAGATAGCCCTCGTATAGCTTTACGCAAAATCCGATACATACAATATACACGTTTGGAATAAGCTAGAGAAAGCAGAACCTCTAAAGTTATAGATCCAAGTTTTTACTGACTGAGCAAGAAATAAACCGTAAAAACATGCAGTTATCAAAATGTTTCCCAATGTACCTCAAACTACAGTAAATAAACGTGAAGGCTCAGAATTTCCAAACTTGAGAACAGCCCGTCTCATGAACAATAACCATGGTTTTATTTGATTTAGAAAGTTGATGGAAATTTTCAAATTTCCAGTTCCACACAACAAATGATAAGTCCAAAATTACACCATGCTAACGTTCAATTTTAGAAAGAATAGTATCTAACTGAAATCTAAGTTGTTACAACTCAAACGCTCTTTACATATTTTCCTCTCTGCTTTGATTGTAAACAACTAATAAATGCGTTTAGAATTTATTATCATCGTTCGAAAAATAAATTTCTAAAAAGAATAAACGCCAGAAATTATCTTTTAGAAACTTTTATATAACTTATCATCGTGGTTAGTGACACAAGCTTCATTATTTTTGGTTAAAATAACCAATTGCTTAACTTTTTCTTAAAATATTTTTAAAAATATGTCTTGGAATTAGATAGAATGTTCAAACAATGTGTCTATAATTAAAGACAGATCAAACCTCTAACGTAAAGTTATGTCGTCTTTTGAAACGTATAGTTCTTCAAGTTTAACTCATAAATAAAATTACGTTTCAAAACTCGTTCAAACGAAGTTACCCAATACTACGAAAATGCTATGATAATATATTATGGAATATTTTTATGAGTGGAATTAAAATACGTAAAATTTTAGTCTTTGTATTCTGTAACAAACATGTAATATTGCACTTAATATTGAATTTATTTTATTACAGTTGTCCCTGACAAAGAACTTTAGATACGAGAGAATATTCGAGCCGTTTATACGGAGACTTTAAATTATCAATTGTTTGTTTGTTATTAAGCACAAAGCTACACAATGGGTTATCCGTGCTCTGCCCACCACGGGTATCGAAACCCGGATTCTAGCGTTGTAAGTCCACAGACATACCTCTGTGCCACTGGGGGGCAAATTATTAATATTGTGAACTTATGTAGTGATCCAATGATTTTGATATCGTTTTCTTACTCCCAGTATGTACTAACATATATTTGAAGATCTCGTTAAATATAACGTCATTGTGTAATCCATATAGAAGATTTTCATTTTAACCCTTTGATATCTATATATGTAAGGAATTCAAAGTGTATATTTCATAAATATTCAACTCAATTACTTCAAATATTCATTTTAAGATTAGATAAACTAGTAGTCGTTTCAGAGTCTACGCACATCGTGAGAATATTCCATATTAACTTTATCGTTTACTGAATGATACACAGATGGTGCATCAATAAATGCTTTAAATTGATAAGCAAACAAAATTATTTTTACCGAAATACTTTTAAACGGCATTCTTTTTTAACATTTTGCAAATATCTCACTAAATAACTTAGGTCACTTATAATTAGTTTGGAATGTAAGTAAACAGGACAAATAAAAGAATAACACGAATATTGAGACTCTCGACATTGACTGGACTTGACTGAAAAATTGTATATTATGTATCTCATAATTCTTATAATGAACTTTCGGATGGTTAATGTCACTGTTATATTTTCGACTTTTTTGCATCTGGATAAAGTGATCAAGAACAAAGTTAGGGATTTTTACTTGTTTTGTAAATCACTATTTACTTTATTTATAAAGAAAATCTGGGAATTTTTTTTGTTTCATAATTTCGCTCAGATACGCAAAGATTATCTGCACATAGTTGTCCTTAATTTCAACTAACAGGCTAGATACAAAGCAGCTAGTCAATAGCACCCAACTTCAACTCTTGGGTTATTTTTGTCTGATAGAATAGTGGGATTTGGCCTCACTCTTTATCGAGCACATACGCACACGACCCCAAAGTGCGCAACGTGTTTTTGCAATGTTAAATGTTTAAAGTATAGAAGTATTGAACATAGCTGAAATTTATGGAGACAAACATATTGCGACATAAAGAGACCACTTCAATTTTTTAATGATATGATAAGCATATTATGACGGGACAAGAATATAATTAACAAATGTCAACAATACTGTAGCACACCGAGCATGTTGAAATACACAAAACGGCCTTTAGTAAAAAGGGAAGAGATGCTGGCCCAATGGATAAATACATGGTTGAAGAAATGACTCGTTGAGATTCTGGTTCGCAGTGCGCTGTTATATGGAGAAAATACATGGTCACTAAGAGAAAAACTCATGTCAAATGTTGCAGAGCTTTGAGAAGCGGGTTTGGTAAATAATGAAAAACAATCTACTGGACTGAACGGATACGTAAAGAAAACATACTCAAGATGGTGGAGTAAATAAACCTTGATTTGAAAAATCCAGAAATGGTGAAATTTACTTGTAGGACGCATTATTCAAGAAAATAGTTTGGAGAAGGTGGTAGCAGAAGAAAGGACTGACTGGAGATGACAGAGACAAGAAGTGAAAGGCACCGCTGGATGATCTGAGAGATAGGAGGATCTTATGGTGAAATTAAGAAGAGAAGCGAAAGATAAAGAAGGTTAGAGAAAGAGACTTTGAGATAAGAACCTACTCTTGATAAAAAAAATATATTGACGTAATAAGCATGTTTAAACTATACTGTAAAAGAATGTATTAAGTACATTCAGACTATATTGTATATTAATGACGTTGTTAAGCACAGTTAGGTTATATTGTGTTGTAATGACGTACTAAGCATATTTAGACTATATTGCAACATGATAACGTATTTATGGTGAGTGTGTGTGTGTTACAGGAACCATTCAAATTTTAAAAACTTTAAAGTATTTTAGAATGTATTTACACTTCTATTTCTTTATCTGCCTTTTGTTGGAGTTCTTAAAAATATCGACCCCCAGTGGCACTGCGGTATATCTGCGGACTTATAGCGCTAGAAACCGGGTTTCGATACCCGTGGTGGGCAGAGCACAAATAGCCCTTTGTGTAGCTTTGTGCTTAACTACAAACAAACAAACTTAAAAATATGAAAGTGAAATATAATATGAGCATTTAGAGAAACTGTAAATTTATTACTCTAAATCAATTGAATGTTGAGCTTATAAACTTCAACAATAGCATAGTTTATTAAAACTGGCTCATACTTTTTAACACTTATGAAATTTTTTTGTTTAGTTTCTGAAAACAATAATTAATTTTATTGTTTGTTTGTTATGAATTTCGCCCAAAGCTATACGAGGGCTATCTGCGTTAGCCGTCCCTAATTTAGCAGTGTAAGACTAGAGGAAAAGCATCACTACCCACCGCCAACTCTTGGACTACTCTTTCACCAACGAATAGTGGGATTGACCGTCACATTATAACGTCTGAAATGACGAGCTTGTTTGGAGTGACTGGGATTCGAACCCGCGACTCTTAGATTGTGATTCGAGCGCCCTAACCACCTGGCCATGCGGGACCAGTTAATTTTATATATGCTCAGTACTTGTTGAATTGCTAGATACTCGTTCCTCGTCCCTTTTCCGAGGCAAAGCTTCACCTAAAGTCTCGATTTTGCCCACTGTCTGTCTTAAATGTTGGTTTTATTTATTTAGAGTAACGTCTCATTTAATTTTCTAACTTACTGTTTGCCATGTACTTCAAAATTATGGTCAAATATTCTTTTTTACTCCGAAAAAAAACACTTAAAAATATTAAAATTACACATGATCTACCCAGTAAAATATTCCAGTTATCTTTTTAGTTTCATTTGCATTAAAGAAAAATATGCAAAAATGTGTTTAAACAAACGTGAATTTTAAAGTATTGTTTGTTTGTTTGTAATTAAACACAAAGCTACACAATGGGCTATCTGTACTCTTCCCACCACGGGTATCAAAACCCGGTTTCTAGCGTTGTAAGTCCGCAGACATGCCGCTGTGCCACTGGGGGGCAGTTTTAAAGTAGTTGCGTTCTGTCCATCGTGAGGAATCGATTTTAGCGTTGAAGTCCGTGAACTTACCGCTGACCTACCGGAGGTTTATTTAAGATTTTCCATGCATGAGAATTTTTCCCCACCCAAATAACTTATGAAATTATTTTAAGATTAAAAACATACAAATAATACTAAAATCAACAAGCTAGTTATTAGTTGTAAAATTTGTCGTAACTAAATACTTCATTGCTCTATAATTTCTTTTTTTATACACTTCGGAACAAAAAAGTTTTTATTTACGTAAATGTCTTATTGTTAAATAATGTTCATGCAATACTGTAAAGAAGACATCCCAGGTGACGTTTCAAGTACTGAAAAAATTGATTGGCTCAGCGCCATCACATCCTCGGAAACTTGATTTATAATTCCTTCTCTTTTTATTTCTGTTCAAATTTTACAAAACAGAATTATTGTTCGTATTGAAATAACTT